CATTTTTGTTTTAAAATGTTAGAAAAATCCACTTTTTGAACCATTTGATCTTATTATAATTTTGACCGAAATAAAGGATAGCATTTCAGAGGTGTTTCAGCTTTGGAATGTCACTACAAAATGGCAGGGCTGTTATCAACAAGAATAAAATAACCTCACCGCAGCCCTGATATATGTAATTAATAGCCCTGATTGTATTACAGTTTTAAATTACTGTCTTGCCACTTTTAAAGTTGGTATTTTTAAAATAATTTAAAAAAGCAATGCAGATTGAACTGGAAGGGGTTTTTTTTTTTTTTTAATTTGAACACAATAACCCCTGATGACATATATTAAGAGAAAATTAATTAGTCCAAATTCTGAAAAGCATATAACTTCAGTAAAAGCTCTCTCATAAGCTCTTCATAGTGAATCATTTTTGATAAATCCTGTTTCATCAGTCACTGCACATTTGCTTTGACAAGATTGATTGGGCAAGTCAGAAAGCCATCATAAGAGCCTGTCTGTATTCAAGCAAAGTTCACCACAGTTTTGCACTTTTCATTTCTAGGCAAATAAAAGAGAAAAAAATCGCATTGAAGCTAGCAAAAGCGTATCTATTGGAAAAGTAATAAATCTCCCCTCAAATATATTAAAAGACTTTGAAATCTGACAAAAACAAAACCCCACAGTTAAGAAGGAGAAATGGTTTATTTGTTTCTAAGTGAAGAGGAGAGGCTTATATACTCATAAAGAATTTGTTCCTGGTCTGGATGACCTGCCCACCTTTCTTACATATTATGGCATGAGCAATAGATTTTGTACAACCCCTTGGGTGCTCTTGACATGACATACTGTTAGAAAATGCATCAGTTATGTTAAGTCAGTTTACTTATTTATTAAATTTATATGTTTCCAATGAATGGGAGAAGAACATTATTTCCCTTTTACCTTCCTTTTCCATTCCAACTTTGGAGCAGCAGCATTAAAAGTAGAAACGTGAAAGAAAATCTCTGGGTGGTTTTCTTCTCATAGTCATAACCTTAATCTTGGGGAGAGGGGAAGGGGACGCTCCTGGTATTCATCCTCTTTACTGTCCGAGGTCGAATTTGCTAACTCAGGGTCTTAAAAGATTATATGTAGTCCACCCCAATATTTCTTATTGTACTAATATAGTTGCATATTCACCTCCATCTTTTACATAATTAGAATTTCACTTCTTCATAATTATTTTGCTTGTTCACCTACTACTAGAAAGAAGAAAAATGTGTATATAACTCCAACTCTTTTAGATTAGATAATCCAATCTGATGAAAAATTATGTCTGAACAAACACTATTGCAATAAGGTAGATGGCGTGTCAGGCTTGCCTATTCCAACCACAATCTTTGCACACTCAAAGCAGTGTCTACTGGGCAAATCATACCCTATTTTTTAATAGTACTGGATGCATGAAAACAAATGGAGCTCTATGTTTGATTTAAAAAAAAGTTTCAAAGAAATAGGGAATGTCTGGAACTCTCTTTATCCATACTTTTAAAATAAGTTCCTATTATATATTTTAGTTCTGTATCATCATTTTTAGATTGACAAATAAAAGAAAATTTCCTCCAAATCAGCTGACTACCCTTAAATCTCTTTTATTAAATTATACATATTATTTTAAAAAATCAATATGTTCATAATAATTAAAACTAGAGTTTACATTTATGTAAAAATATCAATAAAAATAAAGGCAACATACTATAGAAGAAGAAATATATTAGAATAATTATTCACNCAAACAATAACACAGACACATATAAGTAAAAATAATGGGCAACATTCATTCATCATTCGGGAGGGGCGGCTATCTTTGTCCCCAGGCCTGTCGGGCTAGCCAGGTCTTAAGGGCTATGCGGAAGGCCTGGACGGTGGTGAGAGTACGAATCTCCACGGGGAGCTCGTTCCAAAGGGTCGGAGCAACCACTGAAAAGGCCCTCCTGACAAGCAAGGAAACCCAAGTCACTATGTACCACCTAGGGTTCCCTTTGTATAGAGATAGTGCATTTGTAGAGACTTGATAGAAAATATCTTACTTGGTTATCACATAAAGTATCAATATATTTATTTGGTATGAAGGAAAACACCATTAAATGTTAGATGGCAATGGAATTCTTATTAAGTATCTTACGTTCTTGGAAAGATGTGAAGAGCATCTGGAATCGGCTATTTCGACTGCCTTCATCTGCCCACATACGGATTACTCCAAGACCTGTACGCAGCATCACATCATTAGCAACAGTACTGCAAAACTTTGCTTTTAAATCCTCCACTGAGCTACTTCCATCATAGACAGCCACAAAGTTCCTTTTGCATTCATTAGAATTCTGCATTTCATAGTCCAAGAATCGTAAATATATCTATAAAAAAAGAGAACAGTGAACATGACAGCATAGACCAACACTTGCATTTCCACATCAGTTTTTGCTTTTCAAAGAATCCAATGCTCTACAGCAAAACAGTGAACAATGATCACATTTATGTTCCTGAATGGTAGCATAAACAAGAAAACAGGATCATGAACGGAACTGAGAAACCTTTTTCTAACAATTCATTTGTCCTTGGAAGAATTTTCTCAGATATGCTTATCACAAACTCATTATGATCAAGTCTATGTATGCATATAACAATAATCAAAGGTCTTTATATTACTCAGAACAGAATAGTAAATGAGTATGCTTCTTCACATAGTTTCACCACATTACATTATTTACAGAAAAGGGAAAAACATAAGAAATATTTTGTCCTTTTTTCTTCTCTTTGTCCTCTCTTTTCTGACTGTCTCAAAACTAGTAGATCAGTTGTTTTAAAATCCAGGAATATTTAAGAGCAAAAAAGGTTTTGGCATTCTTAGTGAAAACAAAACCTCCTTATTTTTAAATAATAAAATAAAACCATCTAGAATTTGTTAGCTTTTCTATAATTTAATTATGAAATATCAAAATTCCTCAACAGGTGTTATCTCTCTCTGCACTTCAAACTTTAATGGTCCAGAGCAATGGATAGCAGAATCGATCAATGCCTAATCAAACCTAAGACAGGATCAGCAATTAAAATAACGAATCCAAAATAATTTAGTAAAATTCATGTCCAAACGACAACTAATAGGCACAGGCCCGTGATGATGAAGCTATGGCACACATGCCCAAAGTGGCACTCTGAGCCATGTCTCCTGGCATGTGTGGCATCGCCCATTCCTCTTCTGGGTTTCTGGAGCGCATGTGATCAGCTAGCTTCCGTGCATGCGGCAGTGTCGAAAACTGGAAGAGCTAGATCAGCCAGCCAGCTGATCGTCACACGTACATATGCCCCAGTAACTGGAAGACTAGTTTGCTGGCGTGCATGCATGCACTGGAAAATGGAAATTCATTTTTCGGCATGTGCATGCACTCTGGGCGGCTCCTCTTCCCCCAACAAGCGAGAGTATTTGGCATTTGGTGCCGAAAAGGTTCACCATCATTGTAATAGGACATAGGACATTGAAGTTTGGGAAATGAGACATTCTACCATTGGGGGGAAAAAGTCTTTTACTGCCTTCCCATTTAATTTTATAATTACAATAATGACAAATAGTGTCTAACATGCTGGATAAAACACAAAAAAGGACAAAGTTATCTCATTTTGCTCATCTTCTTGATTATACTCAAAAATGTTTAGGATGATAGGAAGACAAAGAAATATACAAACTGATAGGGCAGAAGCAAGGGAGGTACAGCCCAACAGAACAAATATATTTTTAATCTTATATAACATTGTAAATATCAAAATTTCATACACAAGGATCTAGTTCTTTCTAGAAAGTTCTACTGCTGCAGAAATAAATGTTTCTTTTTAAAAAAAAAATAACAAATGAAGCATATCAATCTTTGCCATAACCTTTATGCATCTAGGTTCAAAGTATCTAATTGTGTTTGATATGCATTTGGTTTGCAATGTATTTGGAAAATAGATCTTAAAATTTGTGTTGGATCATTTCCAAAAGAACAATTTTATAGTACTTTATAAACTGGGTCTAACAACCGAGCAAGGTCTTTAGCTTCGAATAACCTTAAATCTTCAAGAAAATACTGTGCATTTCTAATTGAAAAGGAACTTTTCTGCAATACTAAGTTGAGGTTATGGGGCCACATACTCAAGTTTTATTTTTGGCTTCAAAAAAGATGAAAAATGACCCACAGATATTTGAGGTGAATGTTCTTCTCAAGCAAAAACAAATAGCAACATCATCAAAATAAAACAATATAATTTGCTGGATAATCAGATGTTTTAGGTGAATGGAAATGCTGTAAAGTTTATTTTCTAATCAATTAAGAAATTCAAAAGTGATGGAAACAAAATGTATTTTATTCCAGTCTTCTTAAACTAAGAATTGTTGCTATCCATTGTGAATGCTGTATGTATAGCCTTGATGTTAATAAAGCAAGACTGAAATTTTCTTCAGGTGGTCAAAACAATCATCTGCTGGCTGAATTCAGTGATTGCTAATAGGTGAGTGATTCTCACAAAAAAGCAGAAAAGTGATACAGAGAGAACATGATACTCAATATTCAAACTTGACAAACAGACAGCAGACAGAAAACAGACACACAGACTTATAAAAAGAGGTGTAGCTTTGATCATCCCATTATGCTTACTGTAGATTACATTTCAGTAAATGCAGACTTTTATTGTGAATCTCACATATGATTTAATCAACTACAACTAAATCAAGCATTGTGGCATTTCTAGTAATTTCATTCTCCTAATACATATAGTACTTTACAAAGTAATCTAAATCACTTCTGACATTTCAGAATGTCAGAAGTGATCTATTATACATCTGCAACGAACTCATTATACTCACAGTTACCTGTCATAATTACAACAGCCGTAACAACATTTTTAGCAAGGTTCAAAAACTTACAGAACTAAAAAAGGAAACAGAAAATATCTAAGCTAATTGATTATCGTCACTAATTAACTTCACTTTTAATCAAGTATATCTCCTTTATGTTTTAAAGTCATACATGGTGAAAAACTGCTCTGAGAAAGTGACAGAAATTTTTTAAACAAATTAGAATAAGATCATATGATTTTTTTAAAAAAAAACTACCTTATCATGAAACATCATCCTGTCAACTTAAGAAACTACCTCACTTCTGAGTTGATAAGCTCTAAATTTGGCTATTTTAGCACTTATAATAAGATGGAAATTAATTATCCAAATAAAAAAAAAAATAGTTTCTGGAAAGAGATCTAAAAGTAGTGGTTTTCATCTACAAATTGAATCGGGGTTAAATAACGGTTGATCTAGTAATGCATGTGATATAAAACAGCTTGCTAAAAGAGTTCAGTCTGGATGACTATCTTTAAAAAACACAATCCTTCCTTTTGGCTCCTCTTATTTTGCTGAAGCCTATAGAAGTCTGTAGAGGCCTGAAATGGGATGTTTTAAATATCAATACTTTTTCATTGGAGTTCTTCAGTGAGTTCTTAAGATATTTTTTTTCAGTCTTGATTTTATTTTCCAATTCCTTAGATAGAGACCATTTATCGCTTACAAATAGAAAATGGAGCTTTGGGGAGTTTTAACCTGGTTTTACTCAAATACTAACAGCTTGTAGTGGGGCTCTTTAACTTTCCAGTCAAATAATTATTAGCTACTACTTCAAAGCAATCATTGTTGTGTCCTATACAGCAGAAAAGGAAAAAAGATATTTTATTGTTATTGTTTATCTGTCAATAAGACAGATTTAAAAAGAAATATTTTGTGTTTCATCTTAGTTATTTTTTTAAATAGGAAAATAGCAAGATTTAAGTTGAAGTTTTTGTATATGTTATTTGATCAAAGTTCTTTGGTCATTATGATCAAGTTCCAGAAACTTACAGAACTGGTAAAGAACATTTCCCATTGGACAAAAAATGTAGAGAGTATGCTTTTCCTCACACATGTTAGTCAGGGAAAAGAAAGAGACTAAGGATGCATGTTTTGCCATCATTTGAAATGAAACCGAACAATGGAGACCCATTTGTTTCCATTTTATTTTGTTTATTTGTATCCTGCCTTTATTATTTCACAAATAACTCAAGGATGCAAACATATCCAACACACCCTTTGTCCTCCTTTCTTCCCCACAACAACATCTCTGTGAGATGGGAATCAGACTTGGTCTGCGACCTAAAGGCAAGGGCGATAGTCAAACGGAACCAACGATGAAAGGTGGAAGAAGTGACCCGTTCACCTAGCAACGAAGGCTGAAAAAACCTGATCTCCATAAGGAACCCTTGCAAGCTGGGATCCTACAAGCTCAGTCCCTGTTCTTCCAGGGAAAAAGGGGAAGGGAAGAAAGGGGGAAAAAACCTCCCCAACAAACTCCCCAAGGTAAACTGCAAAACTTGGGAGGAAAAACTGGCTAAAGATCACCCCCCCAAAGGACCTGGAATGGGAAAGAGAGGAA